TTCAGATTCAGATTCAGCTCGTCAAAATACATATAGACTGGTATGTCTGGTTAAAAGTACAGATCACTTTTGTTTTTTCGTGGGCCTGTGTAATCAGTTACTTTTCGTGGTAATATATTACAATTCATGGGCGCCCATGAGGGGGGGCAAGGGGGGGCATATGCCCCCCCCTGGATTTTTATATTTTAATTTTTGAATTTAGAATGATTTTATAATTGCCAACCAAATAATTTTTGTTTGTAATTTATAAATTAATTAAAAATAAAAATATACGTAAATATTTGTTTAAAAATAATATATACAGGGTATTAAAAATTTCAAACGTAACAGGTGGAATATCTCGCAAACAATACATTTTAGAAAAATGTTTCATGTACAAAAGTTGTAGGGTTTGGAGGGGGACAAAATAATGGTAAAATTAATTTTTTTTTAAATTCTACTTTTTAAGGTCACATGGAGGTCATCGCCATTTTTTAAATGAAATTATATAATTTGTTTACATATGAAGTATGATTCCTCTGATTATTCTGCATACAAAAGTATTAAGGTAGAATTATCGAAAAATCAATAGTTAACAAGATATTTTATAACAATGTAATATATAAAGACCGGATATATTAAATAATAACTAGAATATAAAAGCCTTTCACGGTCTAAGCTGGTTCTTCGTGCCAAATATTCTTAAGTGAGTTTATCTGCTTCGATATTTTATATATTATTCTGGCATCGAAACATTTTATATGCACGGAAACTGCTTCCTTTTTAAGAACGAGCGAACTCATTGATATTTTTTCTTCTGGAAGTCGATAGCGTTTTCTCTTTACGGAAACCTCGAGCTCGAAACAGTGCAAAGTGTCGAGAGCGATCGTCACTTGTTTCGTCACGTATATATAAATCGCTGCGCGTATACTTAGCACGAGACACTACCGTGTCCCTTGATTCGGGCTTGTGCTATTTTACATTAGACTTTCATACTACGTTTTTCATGCAATAAAAATAGTGGCACTCTATGAAACACAAAAGTGTATTTATATGTAAGTATACATAAGTTTATATTATTACCTGTAGACATTTACTTAGAATTTATATATGTTACAGTAAATGTGCTAATTCGGTGGATGTATGCACTTACTAGTCAATGTATATACCTATTAATTTGATAAGTAAATGTATTCTCAAGCAACGAAATTTAAACTTTTACCAGCAGAAGCATACATTATATATCTACTTGTATACACTTGCTGAATTTTACGCTTTTACTGTAACATATACATATATTCTTAGTTTTTGAGAGAAAAACTTATATACTGTAGAGTAATTCCTATTTGCAGATCAGAAATTATTATGGATATAAGAAAGTTTTTTCAAACAAAAAGGCCAGCAGCAAATAAAAGCGAATTACCATCACCCAAAAAACCTCATGGCTGTGACATGAAAAATGATGACAACAGAAGTGATAGACACAAATCACCGAATCAAAACATTATTGTCAAAGAAAAAGAAACCCGAGATACTTTTGTAGCGCCTTGTACAAGCCTTAAATCCGAGCATGTTACATCTGAATTGTCTGAATCTGATAAATTATTGCATGATATTGGTAACTACATTGAACTCAATAATATTTTAAGACTTAACGACGCAGAAAAATATGATTTGTTGACCAATCCTTGGAATCCTGATAAAACGTATAATTTCAAGAATGATTTAGGGGAAAACCAAAACAGATGTTTTCGTTTGGAATGGTTATACCAATATCCGTGGTTAGCATACTCCAAAAAACTAAAAGGTGCTTTATGCGTACATTGTATACTATTTAGACCTAATATAAAACGAGGAGTTCAGGGAGCATTTATCATTACAGCTTTCACTAAATATAAAGATTTTCACGATAGTGCTAAAAAACATTCTCAAACGGAATGGCATAAAGAAGCAATAATGAAATCAAAATTATTTAGTGATGTTATTACAAATAAGAAAAAATCAATAGATTTACAACTCAACGACGCAAATAACGAGTTAATTGTGAAAAACAGAGACAAACTGCGTTCAATAATATCGAGTATCGTTTTTTGTGGTACTCATGATCTAGCACTGCGCGGGAAACAGTCAGACTCAGGGAATTTCCAGGATCTATTGAAATTCAGAATTGAGGCAGGCGATAGTGTTTTGGAAGAACATTTTAAAACTTGTACAGTAAGAACAAAATACACTTCGCATCGAGTACAAAATGAATTGCTTAATATCTGTGGACTTGTCATACGTAAAAACATTATTGAAAAAATTAATAACGAAAACACCATTGCATTTTCACTGCTCGCGGATGAAACTGCAGATATTTCAGGAATCGAGCAGCTGTCGATAGGGGTCAGATTTGTAGAAAAGAATAATGATAGCGTTTCAACCAGGATATGCGAAGAGTTTCTCGGTTTTGTTCCTCTAGAGAAACTTAATGCAGAGCATATTGCATTAGAAATTCTCTCATTTTGCAAGAGAAATGATATAAATATGTCAAAATTAGTAGGTTTAGGCTTTGATGGATGTTCAACAATGGCTGGTACTGAAGGCGGCGTTCAAAGACTAATTCGAGATAAACACAATAAAGCATTATTTTTCCATTGTGCTTCTCATAGACTTAATCTCGTGGTGAATGATCTGAATATTGTGCGTGGCGTTCAAAATACTGTTGGCACCATAAAAGACGTAATCAAATTTTTTCGTGAAAGTACTCTTCGAAGAAATTTAATTTGTAACATTCCTATGTTATGTGAGACACGATGGTCTGCAAAATACAAGAGCATTAGAGTGTTTTCTGAAAATTTTATTGAAATTAAAAAGGTTCTCGATTCTTTACCCACAAACGCTGAGGTCAACCGTGCTACTAGAGCTCGAGCACAGCAACTGTCAAGTGCTACATCAGAAACTTCTTTTATAGTATGTATGCAAATTATTGCAAAATACTCTGCAATGCTTGAACCTGTGACTAATGCTCTTCAAGGTATTTCTGTGGATATGATTTCGGTTCAAAAGCATGTAAATATTTTACTAGATACATTCAGGAGACATAGAGAGTCTGATTTAGATAGCACTTTCGACATTATATTTAAAACTGCAACAGCAGTTGCTCAACATTTTGAAGTAAAATTTAAGATTCCAAGGATAGTTGGTAAACAAACATATCGTGCAAATTATGATGCCAAATCTGTTATGGATTATTACAAAAAGTCTATTTTCATACCTTATCTCGATTCTCTCTTAAGTTCATTAAATAACAGATTTTCTTCTCAAAATAATGCTGCGTTTTTGCTTTACAATTTGCATCCATATTATCTCAGAAAAAAGAATCAGAAAGAATTTATGGACACAATTAAAATAATTAATGACTTCTATCACATAGAAAACTTTAATGCAGAAGCTGAAATATGGTATAATTATTGGAATAATAATGATATCGTTATAACAGATGAGACATTAATACTCGACTTATTGCAACACTGCCAATTTTTTAAAGCAATAGCACAAGCAATAGAAATTTTAATTTGCCTTCCACCTACTACCTGCACAATTGAAAGATCATTTAGCACTTTGAGACGGGTAAAAACTTGGCTCAGATCTACGATGAGTGAAGATCGTTTGGATAGTCTATGCATGTTAAGCATCCATCGGGCATTTGTTTTTAATAATAAGGAAAGTTTTGTAGAGAGTGTATTAGACGTATTTTCAAAAAATTCAAGAAATTTGAAATTTGCTTTTTCTGAATAATTATTTTTCATTGTTTCATTTATACCAAATGAAGTATTTTATTTTTTAACCCTTAGTCCTTTGCACGTGAACAAAAATTTTGTGTGTGTGTGTGTGTGTGTGTGTGTGTGTGTGTGCGTGCGTGTGCGTGTGCGTGTGCGTGT